TGTGTGTATACATCTATTTAAGTCCGACTCTTGGGCGCCTGGGTGGCTCAGTGGGTTAAGCATCTGCTTTCAGCTCAGGGCATGATCCCAGGGTCCTGGGATTGAGCCCCACATTGGGCTCCCTGCTCAGTGGGGAGCCTGCTTCGCCCTCTCCCTCTGCTCCTCCCCCTACTTGTGCTCTCCCTCTCTCTCCCCCTCAAATGAGTAAGTAAAATCTTTAAAAAAAAAAAAAAAGTCCGACTCTACGTTCAAATAACCCTGTGTGTGTGTGTGCGTGTGTGTGCAGTGAAGCATGGGGGGAAGTGGGTACATGTTCTCATTTAGGATTTAGCAAAAAATTAAAAAATATTTAAAAAAATGATGACCTACACCAGGGCTCAGCAAACTACTACCTGTGAGCCAAACCAGGCCTGCTGCCTAGCTTTGTAAATAAAGTTTTATTGGGACAGAGCCACACCTTTCATTTCCATATCATCTCTGGCTGCTCTCATGCTACAGGGGCAGAGCTGAAGAGCTCCAACAGAAAAAAGTGGCAACAGAAGCCATGTGGCCCACACAGCCACAAATATCTACTACCTGGGCTTTTCAGATCGATACCACCTATTTAGTTTTAAGTCATATTTTTTTCTTCATGCTTGTGTTTATTTCTAATAAAAATAACAATCTAATCAACAAAATTTATTTTCCCTAAGTATTATGTATATTTAAGTGATATTAACATATGTATTATAAATGTGTATAATAAAATTCCTCATAACCCATTTAAGATAAAAATAAAAGATATAATAAAGATAAAAATAAAGATAAAGATAAGGATAAATAAAAAATAAAGATAACCCATTTAAGATAAAAATTCCTTATTCCACTCAAAACCTTCAGTACTGAAACAGATGCTGCTTTCTAAGTACATTCATTCACCTAAGCTTTGTTTAATTTGTCTGTACCTTCTACGTATAGAACTGTGCCAGTCACTAGGCAGGTGTTCAGTAAGTATCTGATGATACTGAATTTAAAAAAATAATTAAAATAAAATAAAACATATAAATATTTTCTCATAAAAATTTTGCAAAATTTTCTGCAGCGCAGCATACCAAGGTTATCTTAAAAAACCACTACGAATAAATACACACTATATATGACATAATGAACTTACTGTTTAGTGATGAAAATTCTACATCTGGGTTACATACTTGTGGCTAGTCAGATGTTCGGCAGATATTATGGGTATCTAGCAAATAAAAAATTATCTGATGAATGATCCATGCAAGCAAGCCAACAACCAAGAGATGAAAACATTTTAATATTAAATTTTTTTAAGAGAAGTGAAATTCAGCTGTGAGGTGACAGTCCTTATCTGGCCAACATAACAGTAAGTTAATGTAAACTTAATATCAAGGTAGCAACTCATTGTTTAAAATCTTTGTGTTAAATACTATTCTATAAATGTTATCAGTTTTTAGGAAGTAAGAGAAGTAAAACTATCAAAAATTCATGCACAGCAGTAATTGAAAGAAGCCCTTTTTGTTGGCCTACACACACACACCTGTGGTTTCACTTAGGCAGTCATCCAGAAATCCAAGTAGGAAATGCCTTGCCTACTTCTGTGCAACCGATTTCTAACATTTTTGTTCAACATATGGTTTCTAGCTTTTTTTTTTTTTTTAATTAAAAATACCAGGTAGGAATTTTAAAGGAGTACTTCAAAGGAACCCGATGGGAGCCTAGGTTCATTTCAGAACCCATTTCTGAATCCTGATGGCACAATTTATCGTATTTTAAATGGGCACGAGAATTTAAAAAACTTGAGAGAAAACACAGTAAGAAATCAATATACAGGTGCCTCATCGCAATGGTCCCCAAAGCAATGACCTTCCAATTTGTAGCCTGATTCTCCTCCAACCCAGAACTGTGGCCGCTAACCTGGGAACAGGCAGTGCGGTAGCGTGAGGCAGTCAGAGGACTGAAAGCACGGGTTCTAACCCTAGTGGATCCATTTCTTGGCTGTGTAACCTTGAGCCAAGCACTTAATTACTCGATGCTTAAAAGCTTCTTCGTCTGTAAAATGGCGCTCGTCCCATCTCGGCAAGGGTGATGGGAGAAGAGCGAAATCACGTCCGTGAAGGCATTTCGTTGTTGTTGTTGTTTCAATTTAGATGTCCTAGACTAATTCAACATATTATAATCCACAGTCTGGAGTGTAAATTAATATGCTTCTATTTTATTTCCATTTCTCAGCTGACATCTTTACACAATTTTTATAGCATTGGCAAATGGCACGAAAATGCGCTCCAAGCATAATGAAGCTTCTCATACCATTTTTCCTGCTGCTGCAGGACAGGATGTTGCACCCAACAGTGTAGAAGCATCAAGGAAGGGGCTGTCGAAACATACCAAGGACCTTCAACACCAATCGATGCAGATGAAGGGCCAGCTATAAACTTCTGCATGCATGCAGGCTGCATTTTGTGGCATCAGCTATTTCCAGCATTGCTAATATACTGTAGGCATATACATATGTATGTATATGTAGATATAATATATGTGTCTATATATATATCCATTTCCCTTTTCTTTCCTTTGGTTGTAAAACAGTACGAAGACCCAAGATTATGCATGAAATGGTCACAGCACAATGCAAAAAGTAAAGTGTCCCCTACAACCCAGGTGGCCCAGGGCATGTTGGAATTTGCTTTGCTATAGTTCGGCTTACACCAGCAATTCTGTCGTCATACGTGGTAAACGCACAGAGCTCAGCATCATCAATTTGCACCATAAATGGATCGCGTTGAATCCATTAAGAAATTTCTGCCATAGATTACTTACTAACATGCCACATATGCACAATCTAGAATTCTTGTAAATGAGTCTGATGTGTTAGCATAAATCCAGGGCTATTTTGACAAGCTTCAGAAAAACTAATGGTTTTTTGCCAAGAAATGTTTAAAGCTTGCCTGAAACTTTAAACTACATCCATTTTGGCAGGCTGCTTTTGAAAGTTTTTAATGGCTACGCTAATAGCTTACGGTTCTCCAACAGGACGTGGTGTCCGGTAGAGAGCGGGATTGCCGGCTTCTCACAGCAGTAAATACCAATTCAGATGGCACTTAATTGGCCTTCTCTGCCCAAGGGGCCACATGTTGACTCCTTTGCTTCATTTGGCTACATTTACCCGTAGTCCGTGGGTTATCTGAAACTTGATTTGGCTCTGGATTTTTTCACATGCTATTAACCATACTGAACTTTGCTTCTGTAACAAACACACCTATATACGTTAAAGCCAAAACCTCCTTCACCTAAGTTTGACTGATTCAACCGTTATTTTCTAGGGCACAATTTAAAATAGGATCAGAGAATGCTGGCTGAGCCAAGGTCAATTTTTAAACTTTAAGTATTTTAATAATCATTTTCTTTTAAATAGTCAGTCTTCCACGTCACAAAATTCAAGTTTCTGAAACAGATCCCACTTACTTACGAGTAAACTGTGAAACCATTACTCTACAAACATGTATGGAACACAGAATGACTCAATTTACCATCTTTGATGTCTTTTTTTCCTTCATAACTCTCCAAAATCTATGCTTAGATTTTCTTACAGAAATAAGAGCATGTGGGGGTTTTTTTTGTTTTGTTTTTGTGTTTGTTTTTCCTTGAAAGCACTGAGAATCAAAACCTGGACGCCAATTTAAATTATTTTGAACATACAGTCTGCTTATCAAACAAAACCGTCATGAATTTGCAACAAACTCTATTTACAAGACTGGTCATTTGTGGCATATATAACGTATTTTTAAACATTTTGCCTTTTATGAAGAATTTAGGCAAGAACTAAGAAACAGTATATACCAAATATTGATAATGGACACCTAAAATTAGCTGCATTTTTGACCGGTCAAAATCCCTGCACGATGGAGACCCAGTGAGAATTGCTTGTGTAAATATCATTTTAGTAGCTTTAGAAACGGAGCCGCGACAACTCTGGAGCACTTATAAATGGCATCAAAGCATTCTGCTGCTCATCATAGAGAGAATGTGTAGGCCAACAAGAGGTATCTTTGAAACCCCATGCTATTCAAGCACCCACCACAGCCCTCACGTACACACGATTCCCACTGACCTCAATGGGAAAGCCACGTGCGTAAGGGCTGTCGGACCGAGCTCTATTAGAGTTGGTTTTTAAGAAACAAAGCTGTAAATTAGCAAACCTGGTTGGCTGTGGCTGTTGCAGCGAAGGGAACACTTGTGGCAGATGTTGTTGCTGCGGACACAGTGGCTGGCGTAGCACCGTGCACCATGGGAACTTTCGGAGGGAAAATCAGATAAGCAAACATACAGAAGAGTGTAGCAATATGGAAACCATGGCAACATGGAGGCGATAATGGGGCATGGTATTTATCACAGCAATAAGCCATGTGACGGGACATCATCACCAGCGAGTGACATGCAATCACAGCGCAAAGCGGGACAACATTCCAAGGAGAGAAGGGGAAGGGGGATGAAAGAGAAAAAAAAGGGGAAAAAAAGCTTGTTACCATCAAATCAAGAAAATTGACACAACAGGCTTAATTTGCTACGTCAAAAACAAGAATTTTATATAGTGTTCACAGTCAGACATTCAAAATCTACATCAAAATACAGGTATTTACTTCATTTATACAGTTATCTGTTTGAATGAACGTATTTTTTCTTACTCATTATTATAAAAATACACAGTATATTACTTTTACGATACAGGTTTTTTTTTTTTTTTTTTTTTTTTTTTTACAGACCAGAACTCATAGTCCAATCAAAATCCACCAAAGGTGACTGAAGGAAACTTGTGTGTAAAGAAAACATTTGTGTGAGTCCATGTCAATTAAATAGAAAATGGCATTTAATTGACAGGTGTTAGTAAAAGGGAAATGGACTTGCCCAATAGATACAAGTTAAAACTTAGCAGTGGATTTTGAGGGGCTGTGAGGTGCACCATAGGTTTAAGATAATCAAGAAACAAAGCTGGGACCTACCAACACTTGCAGCGGGTGTCATGCACAATATTGAGCCTGCCCATCATGCATTGCAACAGGAAGGTGGATTTGAAAAGGGAAAAGAATTAAAACATCCCATCACACGTGTCATTAGGAAATTCATTTGAACAAAGAAGAAAAATTGTTATTATGGGAACAGTGGCATGTAACTGTCAGCACAATCAAATCATACAATAGCACAGTGATCAATTAGAACTAGTCTCAGGTGAAGAATAAAAGCCAGTTTAACTGTGTGCTGGTACACTTTGTTTCTAATCGCTGCCTAAAAATAAAAGTATTTTGGGAAAAGTTCGGACTTGCTTCATTTTTTTAAAAATCGTATTGTGATTTGTTTTGTTTTAATCTGGTTACTAGCCATCTGGCGGCTTTGCTATTCCTGACTTTAGCATATGACTGTATTACACATTTTCTTTATATTGCGCACATGTTAAATAATTAGAGAAACCATTTATTACTAACATGCTAGATAATCCAATGCACAAAACTGGCTTAACGATGTAATAAAACCAAAATATCCATTTTCATTCCCTTGGTTTTATTTCCCTGCTCACTCTAGCAGCAACCACACAGACATGGAAGGGGTGGCGATCATCCATCCGCACAGGGATTTTATTTGGAGGGATACCAAGCAATAAATTATGCATAAAGAGAAAGTGAAACTTCTGCATTGCCTTTGTTTGGAATTTAAATGTAGAAAAAACCTTTAGAGGGGATCTAACTTATAAGTCTCAAAGTGGTTTGCTTAATAGGTATCTGGGGAAACAGGCTGGTTTTCACTGCTGGGTTAGACCTTCAGGACTTCCTAGAACAGCAAACGTTCTAGAAAATTGCACATACAAAAAATCGTTGATTAGACTTCAGTGAAAACCCTGAATGGGAGATAATGAAGGTATCTGCATCGCATATGGGGGCTTAACAGTGATGCTTCCATTGTTCCAACCATGGTGTTAAAGTATTACAAATATAGGCCCTGTTCTCTTTTACATATAAACAGTACAAAATGTTTTTTTTTTTGTTTTTACCAAGCACCGGGCACTTCCCCACATAAAGAACTACTGTTCTTTCTCTGAGATTATTTTAGATTTCTAGGTTTTAAAATATCAAATGATTTTATATTTCTATCTAAATCTTGGCACATCCTATTTAAACACTAGCAGCATCTGGGATGAACATTTGTTAGAAAAATATCTGCCAATTGAGTCTTGTCAGAGATGGCCCTACAAAACAAAGCTGCCATTGAGAAACACAGATTACTGAGCTGGCATCCCCGTAACAGCTGCAATTAGTCTGTTATCACAATTAGACCGTGGGCACAATGATCAGTGATTCAGCTCGGCCAAGGAGCGAGGGAGGCATCCTCTCAGGTGGAGTGATATTACCCTGAAAGGCATTTTTTTTTTTTTTTTTGAGAAACTTGAAGATCTCCATCATTTGCTACTGCTACCGAGTCAAAGACTTGTGAAAGACAACAACAAAAACAGACCAGTAATAACAAAGACGTTAACTGGAGACAGTAGAGCAAGCGAAATTTAATCCTGAGTCTAGATGCTGTGAAATCATTATCCTCTCAAGGTGGGAAACGAGGACTGGGAAAGAGAGGAATGAGAGGATGTATGAGAAACAATAATGTGGTATTCAAGGAATATTAAAGCCAGTTTAAATACTGTACAGGTTATATGTTTTAAACTTACTGTGTATTATTATGCTGCAATTTGCCTATTCTATTTCTCCCATGCGTAATTTAGCCTGCACATGCTGAAAATGAGTTAACTCTCCTATCTGTCTAAAGCTTCTGTGATTTGAATTTTAGTTTGAGTTATCTTCCTTATTACCATTATAACCAGTGCACACAGTTTTGAGAGGGAATTGCAGCAAATAAACATAAGGCAGCAATGAAAATACTAGCCAGGTGCAGTAACTCACAAAAATGAAGACATAATGCTGTAGGACCCACTTACCAAAACCAAAAATCACTTTGAAATGACCATAATATCCATCTTTACATCAAATTGGGTTGATTTACTAATAACGATACACAAATAGCCAATTGAAATTTTTTTCTTTAATTTTCAACACAAGGCAAATTTTAAGTGAATGTATTTGTCAATTTCAAATTTCCCCTATGAAGATATTTGCACAGCAGAATGATGTGTTTTTGAGGAATGCATTACTGTTTGAAGATGCAGGGAAAACAAGTAGGAAGGTAATTCACAAATGCGATTCATGCACAGTTAAGAATACTTCAAGGAGAAGGGAAAGAAGTAGAAGAGAGAAAAAGGATTTTAACGGAGAGGTTCGAATTTGGATGTGGTAATTCAAGCCTATGTATGGCTACAAGTATAAAGCTGATTTAGGATTTTCTAAAATTTGTATCATTTAGGACTAAACTTGTGTCACTTAGGGCTCAAAATTCACAATCAATTGAATTAATCTCAAAATTGATATCCAAAACAGCAACAGCTTCATACAGTTTGTTTCTATGTTTTGAATTCTATTCGATTGCTTAGTGAATTCAAGAAATAACAAATAAAACCTAGTGCTTATTACATTCCAGGCTTTATTCTAAACTCTTAGACCTGCCTATGAAAGTGCTTTAAGAGAATGTTATATGAAATTGTTTAAAACTCATTTAAACCCAACCTTATGAAATAATTACCATTAGTATCCCCATTTATAGATGAAAAAAAACAAGGTATGGAGAGAGATTATAACTTGTGGTGGAGCTGGATTTAAACTCCCAAGCCTGATTTATAATCACTATGCTGAGTTTCAAGTACACCATCTGCATTAATTTCATTAATTATAGTAAAAGTGACAAGCTGGGAATTTTTTTCTGTTTTCAGCCCCCTGCACCTCCCCTCTCACTCCCCGCCCCCCAAAGAAAATCTCCTGGCCTTCTGTTGCTTTCTATCTGGTAAATTGCAATATAAGCCAAAGCTGAAGTTGCTTAAAGCACATATATTTTTAGATGGTTTTAAATCACAAGCCCACACTGAGGGCAGTATACTAGGAGGAGAGAAGAGAGGTGTGTTTTTGAGAATAGGAAGTAAGCACAAATGGTGAGGGAGAACAGGGAGAAAAATTCCTCAAGGTACAGAGAGGGGGAGTCTGCAGGGTCATGAGTAGTTGGGACACATGGCCTGTTCTTCCACAACCACCCCACAGGCACAGGCTGTCAAGGGAATGGGCTGCTTATGAGGCCAAGGCGCTCAGGTAGGCATGCCTGTACCCAAGGCAGCCTCAGGAACTCTGGAGTGCCTGCCTCGTTGAGACCCTGTAAGCATGGGCAAGGATCACAGCAGCGTGACCAGTGCCCGCTAAAGATGGAGAATGGGCAGCCTGTCTACCCTACTGGACCTCATAGGACCTCTCTTTGAGGGTGGGGATGGGAGGGAGGAGATGTGAGAAGGGGGTTCTGGAATCCTAGCAATGTCTGGTATTTCTATCCAACACAGTGAGCTTAGAGTTTAGACGCGGACTTAATTTAAATTCAAGAAAATAAACTGATGTACGTAACAGTGACATTTCTTACCTACTCTAATCTTGGGGGTGAAATTCATACCAACAACCTAAGTAGACCCTAGATTATGCATGATCTGTATGAATATTCAATTTGGTCTTAAAGGGTGAAGATTTAAAAAAAAAGGTAGTATATATATCTAAAACTTAAAAAAAAAAAAAGAAACTTGAATGTGAACTTAATCTAATATTTGCATTTATTTTTAAATGAGATGGAGGGTATAAAACACCAGTCATGGAGTCAGGGTATCAATAAGGCCTCGTTCATCTTTTAGGCCAAATCACTTTTTAGGACTTCATGTAAAGCTCATAGAAGTTAAGAGACTGACTGAGATCCCCCCGACCTGATTTCAAGTTCTATCTAAACCTTACAAGCCATGCAACTTGGAGCAAATCACTGGACCTCTCTAGGTGCCGAATTACTCACTGGTAAAATGGGACTATTAATGCCAACCTTTGAGGGTTGTTGTGAGAACAAATGTGAGATAATGTATATAAAGTATCCAGTGTAGTATGGCACAGAGCAAACACTCAATAGAGGTAGCTCTTTTGAACAAAATGTGTGAAACAACTGGGCCAGAAGCCGTAGGGAGTCGTGGAACTTGGAACTGGAGAGCATGCAGACCTTCTAAAGGATTGACATTTTGTTTTTATTTAAACACTCCTAGACAAATATTTTTGGATTCTAGATTTAGCTCCTGGGTCATAAGTTTGTAATCCCTAGTGTCAACACTGGTCTACCATGTGGCATTGATTCAGTGAATGGATGGAGGGGTGGGTGGGTGGGTGGATGGATGGATCAATGAGTGGGTGGATGGGTAGATGGATGGATGGAAAACGGGGAAGGAAAAGAGGAAGGGAGGGAAGGAGGGTGAGAGACAAAGGAGGGAAGGAGGATAAGAAGGAAGAAAAGATAGATGGTTGGACGGATAGATGGATAAATGGATGTATGCATGCATGCATGGATGGATAGATGCGTAGGTGCCACGTAAGTCCACTTTTGCTATTAAAAGTTATGATATATAGTAATTTGTTTTTAGCTAGCTACCTGGCTTGCCACTGGACCCCGATCTTTTGCCGGCAACCTAGTCTGTATACAATCACCTCCTCTAATGATTTAGACAACTATACTTCACTGTAACTTCAATGAATAGACCTACATACCACTGAAGTTATTAGTGAAGCAAGAGACTACAGAGCTCTAAAACTCTAAGCTACAAAAAAATAAATAACTTCTATTTTCTTTTCAGTTCCAATAGAGCCTTCAGAATATACCTTCCAAATTATTATATTGTGGGCAGTTAGGATGCTCTGATCATATAATTCATCTGTATGCCTGCAGAGTAACATAGTCTTTGGAAAATAAACTTCCTTTTCTCCCAGGTATTATATATGAGATTACATCAATTTGTGGTAGGACGGATTTCCTGTAGTTCTTAAAGAGTATTTAAAAATTGGATTAGCTGGAAAATTTTTAAAAATTGAGAAATTTCACATATAAACATCCAAATGAGGTGAATAACTAGAAGAAAAAAAAAAGTCACAAGATCTGGCAACCCTGGACATCAAGGCCACTACATTAGATTGTGCAGGCTTGCATGGGAGGCAGAGACACAACTACCCTATAAAGTAGATGGAGCCACAAAGGATGTGCAGTGTACAACAGGTACAACCTGCCAGGCAGATATTCCTCTGAGGCAATTAAAGGCTAAGTCAAAACATTCACCGTCCCCCTTTAGATTGGGCCTGTGCTCCCCAGTGCCTCCCAGGCCCTACAGTTCCTAATTTATTTCTTGTTTCATTTGTTTATGTTTCCTGCCTGGCCCCTAAGGCATTTTAGTTTACATTCTCTGCATTACATTTCTTTCCTTTCTGGCTGGCTGACAAAGTGGTTTGGCAGAAGTAAAGATGGGTTATCCATTTTAACCTTCTAATGTCATACAGCCAATTTTTTTTGTACTCAAGCACATATGACAAATAATGACAATAGTTTAAAAGAATGACTAAGGTTTTACCTACTTCTGATTATGTGACTAATAAAGGTTAAGCCCTTTAAACTGGGTTACAAATAGGTGTAATCTTATATTACTATTGCAATAATTTCATATCATATTTATTAGAAATATCAAGAACAGAATATAGAATATCTCTGATGCAAAATTCATCATAAAATGCAAATATATCTTAACATTTTCAGCACACTTCAATATATGTGACACATTTTATTTAAATTAACAATGCTTAGTTTCTAGAAGAGAGAGATAAGTATGATTTCAAATTATGAATGTGTTTATTGTTTTTCCCTAACTTGATCCTTACTTAGCTTCTTTTGCTCTGTCTTATCCACACACTAAAAGCCTTTCTAGGGAGGGATTACTGTCATAAATATCATTGCATAAATTCAATTAATGGTTAAGCTTATTTAGAAAAGTCCTTAGTCATCAGAATGTTGTTGGAGAAACTAACATAAAACCCATGTAATAAGATAGAAATGTTAGATTTCCTTAAATAATATATGGAAGAAGTTAGATTCTTTTATTTTTAGATTTTAAAGACACTCACTTTGAATGGCAATGTTTTATTCAATGAAAATAAACAGACAAAAATAATCTTTAATTTCTTCAAAGAGATAATGGTAGCTACCCACAATCTCTTTAAACTTTAGTGATCTGGCTATAGAAAAATTGATAGATTATTTATTGAAGATGGCATAAATCTAGGGGTATGGCAATTTTTATATAAAAGCAAAAAGATTAAATTCTGGAAATCTCCGAAGACCTATATATGTTGAGAAAAAATTTTTAATCTTATAAAATATAGGAGAAATATGTAAGATATGAGAGATTTTTCTCCTCTGAATGCATAAATACCTTACAGATCAAAATGATTTAATTTATATTCTACAATGGACAAACTGCAACTTGCTAGATCTTATTTCGTGAGTACAAACATTTTATCCATGGCGCCTAAGGCATATGCTATTTTAATTCATGGAATACTCCAGATACGCCGGTTCACTGAATGTTGCTACATATTCTACATCTGGATGGCCAGCTTTCGGAGATACACTGTATAAAAAGTTGTGCTTAGCAGTAAAAATTACCGTGAATGTAATTTATTCTTTTGTTCATGATTCAAAAATAAGTGATCACATTCCCTCACAGCATTATGAACCTAATGCATTTAAATACTGTCAATATAGGGTAATATACTAATGATGCTGGACCTCTGACCTACACACCTCGTCATTCATTTATTAATTTAATTAGTAAGATAAAATCATTTTATTAAATACATCTCTGAACCCATGGTAGTTATTTCAGAAAGGTTAAGAGGGAAAGAGAAAATGGGATTAGTCTCCAGTTAGTTGAATTCCAGATTATGAGAAGTTTAATGTGTATTTTCTGAAATATGTATTTTCCAGGTTTTAAGAAGTTTAATATGTATTTCTTCTTCTGTACGAAGAGTAAAAATAATAAATTTTCAAGTAATTAAATGACTGATTGTTTCTAAATTTTATACCCTTGTGGATAGCACTAGAGTATGCTTATGTCACTAAGTTGAAATCAACTGAAACCACAAACGTATAACTCAATAGTAGACGTAAACCTCCCTGGGCACTTAGGAGAATTTCAATATTAGCTCAGGAGCAAAAAATGATTTTAAGCAATGTACTGATTGGTACCAATAAGAGCACTTTTGAAGAGCTCTGGAACACAGAGTCAGTTTTTGTTGTTGTTTTGTTTTGTTTTTGTTTTTATTCTCCACCTTGAAAACAAAAAGGCTGAAAAATAAAAATCAAAACTGCAAGTGTCATTTCATCGAATTCAGATTTACTCTATGGAATCATGACGGCAAAGGGGTCTTACAGCAGGAAGTGTCATAAAATAGCTTGACAGACATATAACAGTGTTGAGGAAGGAGGAAAAAAAAAAAGAGAGAACTGTATTTCAATTCCAAATTACACAAACAAAAAGAAATATATAACACATCACACTGATCTTTAATCCACTTCTCATTAAGCTAAAATTCTCCGTTTTTAAGGAAAACCACATGAGATACCTCAGGTAAGTTTCCACTGTTGACCACCTTACCTTTCACCTTATCTACGGCTAACAGCAAACTGGGGGCAAGGCTTATCTGTTCTACCAGCACAACTCTCTGCAGCTCGTCAGATTTGTTCATTAACAAGCTCAGACCCCTTACCTGGTGGGAGAAATGCTGTATGTTGTTGCAACTGCATGTTGGCTAGAGCCTGTTGGTATTGGAAAATACCAGTGTTAAAGACTGCGGTGGCACCGTTGGTTTTTTCAAGAGCAGGCCTCTTTGGTAATGGGGGAAGTACAGCTTGAGGAATTCCCTGTTCAGTGAATGAGTATAAAAAACAAATACCAGTAAAAAGAGAAAAAGAAAAAAGAAAAATCAGTTGAAGGCTAAAATTGTTAGGAAGCATGAGCAAGCAAGCAGCAGAGCACTGAACTACCCAGGGGGAAAAAAAATCCAATCAACAAAAATGAAAGAAAAAAAAAAAGGCAAGATAAAGGCTTTAAAGGAAGCATTATTTTTGTCCAAAAAAAAAACAAAAAACAAAAAAACAAAAAACCCAAACCAAACCAAACCAAAAAAAAAACCCCACTAGGACGAGAGCACATGTTATAATGTGTTAAAGTGTTTTAAGTCCCATAATGCTTCAGGCTTTCTGTGAGAAGCCACTGATTTGGGGAAAGAAGAAAAGCTGCACTGCGAGCTCCATGAGGATTGACGAGTATAAGCAATGTTAATTGTTAATTGTACAGAGTGACCGAAACAGGTAAAATAAAAACTATTTCCACTCTGCTCCTCCCCCCAGACCTACCTAGACATGCAAATATCCCAGAGCATGCAAGTTTTTTTTTTTTCTTAAACACTAAACTATAAATATTTACAAATAAATAATTCTATCACTAAAGCCATGCTAACCAACAGGTACATAAATATACAGTCAAAAATACATTTTTAATGTCCTTAAAGTATTTCACTAGAACATTCTACAATGTAGTTAAACTGAATGTGGGCTGCTGGTCTTTTGGAATCTTTCATGGTATGATATCTGTCCAGGTACTTATAGTATAGTCTTCCCACTAATTTTGTCAGGAAACCACACTCAGTTTTTCATTGCACTTTACAATTTTATAACAGAAAAAGGAATATATATTTTTAAATTGATAAAAAAAAAACTTGTATCTACAATAAAGCTACATGCCAAGCTAAAAGGTGAAAGGTCATAGTACCAGGTCAAAGGTTGCCTCGAGGGGTCGCTTCAGTGATTTGACAGCCGACTGAGTCTTAATTAGCAGGCAGCGAGCACATGATGGCAATGGGCCAGTGGGGTTCAAGCGCATTAACATAAACAGCAAGCAGAGGTGCATCATGGGGGCAGCAGTGCATTTTTGGGTAGGTGAGAAAAAACAAATAAAAAAACAAATCATCGGAATGCCATATACAACGAATAACAAGACTAAGCATGCACAATAAAGGCACTACTGAGTTGTTATTGGGAGGATAACTCCTCTTTGTAGTTAATTACAAACAAGATACTCTAACAGAAAAAAAAAAAAGAGTGAAAGGAAGAGAGGAGGAGAGAGTCTGCCTTCTGTATTTTTGCTCAAGTATCCGTAAACAAACACAGAAAAGACCTCTCTCGTGATTATTTTACTGTGCTGTGAATACCACACAGTATGTGTTATGAATATCTTCATGACTAAGTCATATATATTTATGTAAAAAAAAGGACAACATTAAAACAGCTAAGCAAAGAACAAAGAATGGACTCATTAAAATCAGCTATTAGATCACATTAAAATTTACCTTAAGAATATAGGGATCTGCTCTAAAGGATCCAATCTCTAACTCCTTGAGTACTGCTGTCTGTCTTTCTCCTTTCTGTACGATGGCAAAGCCAAGCTTCTCTAGTTTGACAATTATGTTTAAAGCCACAACATGACTTAAGACGATCTAGGTAGCACACGGTTGAAAATCTGGTGGCTAATCCTCAGAACAATTTTGCTTAAGTAATTCTCCTAAATAGTTCCAGATTATGTTCTTGTTAAAAGCAAGATACATGTAGAGAAGAGCCTTGATGTGCAAAAGAACACACCGAAGGGGAACAACGGCTGATTAGATGGCACACAGAAAAATAAGAGGACCGAAAATGGCAGTATCGTTAGGTTGAAAAAGGAGACGGGTGTTCTTTACAAAGCGGAAATTTCAGAAACCCTATATCCAGAATAAGACAGAGTAGTAAGAGTTAGGCCAAGGGTAGGAGCAATCGGAACCATTTGAGGAGTTACCCTCACATCTGTGAATGGTTAACTTCATTATGTATTGTCGGGGATACCTGAACAAACATATCTTCAGCAAAAAAAAAAAAAAAAGAAGAAAGAAAAAAAAATTGAAAGGTTAATAAAGGAACAGCTTGTAGTCAGATACAGTGGTTCAGTCTGGCGGCTAGCAGAGACAGAGCCGGGGCCACTACTCACCATGGCGGCTGCAGTGGCTGCAGCCTGAGCTGCTGCAGCCTGGTTGACCTGGTACTGGGCAGCCTTGATCTTGGCTTGCAGATGTGCGGGAGGGTGAAAGTATTTGCACTTTTCCCGTGAGCATCTCCCTTTGATGTAATCCATGCACACGGTGACTGTGTTGTCATTGGTGTCAATCATTGTGCTGTCAGCAGGATGAGCAAACCGACAGTCGTTTTCTCCTCTGTTGCAATTGCCTCGCTGGTACTCTCGACATACCTATGAGGTCATGAAGCGCAGGGGGCTCAGTCAACATGGGCAAAGAGAATCTTTCCGAGGATTTTGACTTAAAGTGCAAGACTGGTGGTAGAAGGCCACACGCGAAAGGGGAAAAGATCATTTGCAAAAAAAAAAAAAAAAAGACACCGAATAACTTGAGTTCCTCATTGAGTGCACAAGTTATAACCCCATCTCAATAGGACTTCCATGAGAAAGAAAATGCATATTTGATATGAATTATGGTAAGACATCTAATTTAAATTATGTTGATGTACTTATTAATTACCAAGGGAAAAACAGTAACTTTACAGTGAAGAGACCTGGCAGGCCCCACTTTAACCAAGTGATCAAAGTTAATAACGCCAAGAAGACATAATGGCATCATGTATCCATTGATAGGACGCACCGATAAAAAGGCCACCACATCACTTTCGTTTATTATTGCTGAGACTGCATAACCTGAATTTAATCATGACAAAACATCAGACAAACCGAAGGGGGGGAATGTTTTACGAAATAACTAATCAGTACTCTCTTAAAAGTATCAAGGCCGTGAAAGGCAAAGGACGATGAAACACTGTCACCGACTGAATGATCCTGGGGTCAGAGAAAGGATATTGGTAGAGAAACTGGTGAAATCTCACTGAAGTGTGTAGACTGGCTAATAGCAGAATATCACCGCCAATTTGTTTTGTAAGTGATGACACGGTCGTGTGAGTGGTTAATATTTAGGTAAACCGGGTGACAGATAGGCAGGAACTCTTGGTTCTATTTTTGCAACATCTGTGCTATCTGAAATTATTTACAAGTAAAAGTATAAAAGGTAAAACTTGATAGCTTTTTAGTAAAATGTTTCCAAGTGCTATGTTTCTGATCATTAGAGATTCACTTGGTAGATACATGAAGCAGAGGGAAAAAGATTAGTTTTTGTTACTGTCTATTTGGTTTATATCTGTTAATTGTGGACGGAGTCCCTGGGGAAAGGGTGAAAATGGATCATTTCTCATGTGTCTGCTCAATTTTGACTCCTCCTATTGAAGTTTGTCATGATGGCTGCTCAAATCAGGAAGTTGCCAACACCGGCTTCATTTGGGACAGTTTGACCTTGTTACCACAAGAGGGCCATCTAAAACACAGAATGTCCTTTTAATATTTCATGCTCCTACTTTGAGCTTCAAGGAGACAGTTTTTATTTTTCACATATCTTTTCACAAACTGAGAAAATATACAGACCCCAAGCACTTTATTTTGGAGTACAGCAAGAAAGAGAAACGGGAACCATGTTATGATTTTAAAAGCAAAGGTCTTCTTGGATTTGTGTACATAAAATGATCACATGCAATTCTAGGTACTTTTCCTCCCCATTATATCCATATCCCACTATTGAGCAAAGTGCTTCCTTTTAAGAAGACCGCTATAATTCGTATCATGCTACATCTGAAAACGGGCATTATAAATGACATCTTGCACTATTTTTAAACCTCGAGCTAGCTGAAGCCTTGTATTCCATATACACAGCAATGAACCGACTTTATTCATCACCTCATTCATTTATTTAATTTAAAAAATTTACTGAACAAATATTATAGGCCAGACACTCTGAGAGATATTAAGAATCCAGAGATGACTTAGGGAGTTACAGAGGACCCTCTTGTTTTTTTCTCATTGCGTCTGTCTTCTCGAACAGAAGAAAACAAGGCTAACCAGGAGTTTATAATTTGAAAAGCGAAAGTGATTAAGCCCTTCCCCTGAACTACTGTCCTCCACTCTGGCTGATTAGCTGCGGAGCTTTCTACACCACAAATCCCCAGTCCCTAACCAACACTTAACTGGATTAGGCTCAACAAAACAAGCAGGACAAGAGAGACACACTTAACTGAGAACAAAAACTTCTCATGTATGTATATGAAATTTATGCTGAATTTATACTATCGTATGAACAAAAAGGCTATCTTTGTGTTGAAGCAAATCCATGTCAATGCAGTCTCATACGATAGGAAACTCTACATGAATGCACACTTCTGGGGTTAATTCTCCAGTAATTCTTGCTTTCTTGAACATGCTCACAGACGAACTGGCAACAGATGAGCTGACACCCTCCCTGTCAATTTATCTTACTCTTTGCCACACTGACAAGAAAGATCTGAAAGCAGCCTATTTGTGGGCTCTTTAATAACTATTAAAATCTAAGATTCCTTATTTTTCCAAAAACAATTATGCCAGTGCCTGGTGCCAGACATTTGAGTGTGATTCTCCCAAAATACAATCTGAGTGCTGGGCTTTTGACTTTTTGTTTCTCTGTCTCAAAACTCTTTTCACTTTCAGTGATATAAACCCAAGATTCAGATTGCATACAAATGGTCATTCTAATACACCTCATTCCTCTCTGTTTGCTTCATGCATGTGAGTGTGTGGTTGGTACAGCTTAAGGACTGGTTTATTATACTTTTCCACTCTTTGCTCTCTTGCAAGATGCAATTCAGGAGAATTCTCAATGTATTTAAGGGGATTGATAACTAGGAATCCACTTAGAATTTGTCCCCAAACCAGCCTTTTTGAAGGTTCAGAGGATCTAGTCAACTGCTTTGGCATGATCTGCATTTTCTATGGTCTTATTTTTTCCTAGCTTCAAGTTCTCCCAACATGAGAAATGGAACAGAATAAATACACTGAAATAGCTGTTCTCCCATTATTTCTGCTTTTGAAAAAATAAACAAAAAAACAAAAAATCTCCTGTGAAAACTTGTACTGCTGAGAGCTATCTGCGAGGGGGGCTAGTGAAGTGCGCCACGTGCCAGATGTGTGTCTGCATCCCTGGTACCTACCTGAACAGAGCAAATTTCCCAAGGCTTTCAAGACACATTTTTGTCTAATGATCACCAATAAAACAGGATCTATCCCTTGACTGTCGAACTTGGGTTTGGCCTGGTTTCTTTGATGAACTCAAGAAAACTTCAGACTATGCTGATCCTCAAAAAAAAATCTCTTAGATGTAGTATTATATTAGTAAATGAAATAAGCGGCTGACAAAATGTCAACAAATGTGATCTTATAATTCGAATCAGGATAAGAAATTGTACGATTTACCATACAGAGAAGTTAAAACACGACAGGTTTAGAATCCTAACACCACTGTGGTTCTTTTTTCTCTTCTCATCCAGTCTTCCGCAGGTACACATTTTTCAAATAGCTGTAATGATGGTACAGCTACTACTTGGTGACCTGTTTTTTGTTCAACAGTGTGCGTAAGCATTTTTTTGTTTTACTCAATAGTGTCTGGCGTGATCATTTGTGATGGCTGCATCGAATTCCATCAAACCGATGTGCATACTATAGGTAACTCTTTCAGAGATCATTTAGGTTATTTCTAGATGTTCTCATGTTACAAATAATATTGCAAAGAGCATGTTCACGACTATAGATATTTAAAAAAACATTTTCTAAGGTTAAATCTGCGGAAATGGCATTAGTGGGTCAACAGATATAAGTACTTTTTATAGTCTGGTAAGTGGATTAAATAATTAAATTAATTAGATTAAAATAATTCCATCTATTTAGCTAAACACAAAATGTGTTTCTTTTTTTTTTTTTTAAGTTTTTTTTTTTTTTTTTTTTTTTTTATTCATGAGAGACAGAGCAAGAGAGAAAGGCAGAGGGAGAAGCAGGCTTCCAAGGAGCAGGGAGCCCGATGCGGGACTCGATCCCAGGACCCTGGGATCGTGACCTGAGCCGAAGGCAGACGCTTAACCATCTGAGCCACCCAGGCGCCCCACAAAATGTGTTTCAATCAAGAAAATGTTGAGTCTTTTACTCTGTAAACATTAAGGCAGGATTTGTTTTGTAAATCAGGTAAGTTTAATAAATTTTCATACAAAATAGGTGAGAGTCTGCTTTTACATTAAAACCCATCAAGTCAATAAAGATAGCCATTGAAAACATTTAAATACTAAATTCCATTTCTAGAACCATCTATGCAATAAAGTTTATAACTTTAAAAAAATCAAAAGAAAAAAGTACTTAGAAAACTTCCCAAAGAAATGTGAATTATTCTATGTAAACCTTTTCTCGTTAATTAAATAGCAGTAGTAGAGTGGAAAGAAAATAGAGTTTAGCATCAGAAATTGTGGGTTCTATCTAGTTACTATACTTACCAGCTATGGAATCATGAATACTGAGTAAGATAATGGATAGATAGCTGAAACACATAATACAAATCTGGTTAAAATAAATAGTTCTGTTATTTGACCTCTAGGGTTTTTTTGTTTTGTTTTTTTATTAATGTGACAAGCGTATTTCAAAATGGTTAGAATAATAATAGGTTTTATAAGTAGTATTAAATTCAGCAATGTTCTGCAATTAAGGCATTAGAATTCTCAGGACATTAATGTCAGTGTTTGAACTTATTCAAAACTGGACAGTCATTTGCATGTTTGTTAAGGAGAGAGCTCTTTGAAGTAATATATTTTGTGCTCACCATATTTAACTCAGTCATGTTTGGAGAACAACTTCCAAAAGCAGGAACAGAGAGCTTATCATAACAGGAACAGGCACTATTTTAATATTTTAGAAAGTCATTTTAAAGTTTCATGACAAATATTATGGAGCTTATTATAAGCTTATATATATATATATATATATATATATATATATATACACACACACACACACATATATATACACATATACGTGTGTGTGTGTATACCTGTTGTTCAATAATAACCACCATAGACTTTATTTTCCATTAAGCTTGAGCTATATGAAACTGTAAAAAAGGAGTACTGGATGATCAATAATTTTATCAAGGTATCCAAAGCATTAGTAGTCATGAGTATACAAGCTAATGCCAAGAATTGTCTGTATTTTCAACTCAAAAAGGATTATAATCTCCACAGTTTAAAATTCTGGTGGTTATGGGTAATGATCTTAGCTGATTGTATAATTAATTCCCAAGAGAGATATCTGATGATGTCATATCTAGTTTCAATCCGTTATCAAATAAT